TCAGAACAGAACCAACATTCTCAGGCCAACCAATCTCTGTTGATATCAAGGATAGCTATATCTGCAAAATGAAGCCAATACATACAGAATGTTAGACATGGTTCCAGGAGCTGGGGATATAGTAGCAAATCAGAAGTGCATTTGACTGTGGAACAGACCTTTTAATCTTGAACGGCAGACAATAAATAAATATGAAAAGTGTCAGATATGGTGAAGTTCAAAGGAAAAAGTCATGTGAAGGACTTGGCACAGAGGATGCTTCAATAAATAGCAGCTGTTATAGTTACATCTCAGCATTCAGTAAATGCTGCTCAAGTGCACGTGATTCTCCCACACTCACATATATAATTATTAGAAATATAGGGGTCCCAGGCCATCCTAGACATCACAAGGAACCCTTGCCTTCTGATCCACTGACTAGTTATTTCTCCTTAAGCCAAGATTATTCTTTTAGATGTTGTAAAAGCTCCAAAGTTCACATCCCTTTAGATCTTTCCAATCTACCAGGACTTTTTCTAAACAATCAAACCTGAAGGTTCACACGGCTGGAAAAGATGAAGGAAGTTGGAGAGGAATGGGGATTTGCTATAGATGGCTACCCTCCCTATTCTAGCCAGAGACCAGGCTGGACTTGCAGGGAACATGCAAATGTATGTTCATGGCCAGTTTTCTAAGGAGACTGCCAGGGGGCCCTTAGGATTAGAAAACAGAGTCCAAAAACAGGGAGTCCAACCTTTGTTTTCTCAAATGCTATTTCAATAAAAAACTGATTTCATGGGAGGGAATTACAAGGCAATGCTGTAGAGGAGTAGGCTTTGAAGTGTCTTGGAAATAGGATAAATCCAGCCTCTGGTCTCTAATCCTGGATCCAATTATGATTTTCTGTGTGACCCTGAGTAATCCCTTCCCTTCTCTGGGCCCCCTTTTTTTTCTATCAGTACAATAATGAAGCCAGGCGATACCGCGTCTGGGCCCTCTCTGTTCTGACATCCTGTCGTGTTTTTCTCAAATCATCTGCTCTGGTGGGATCCCTCCTCCCAGAGGCAGTGGAACCAGGGTGCCTCTCTCAGCATATTTGCTAACACCCAGCCTCCAGGGGAAAAAATGCTGACCGACACCCTGGCTGCCTTCGTGGTGTGTTGTTAAACACCTACTTACAGCACTAATCGGCTGGTTTTCACGCCCAGGAGATGGAGATTGATTGCTGACACTGACCTGGCAAGGAGAGGATCCCACAATCACCAGCCAAAGCAACCCAGGCATGCAGGCTGGGAGTTTGGCAAAAGGTACTGTGGATGGGGAAGGGACTGGCAAGGAGAAAGAGAATGGAAGGTGGTTGTCTGTAATGACTGGGAGCATTGCTGGAGAAGTCAGGCAGATCTGAGTCTTGGTCTGTTCTCGGCCACTTTCTAGCCATGCAAACTTGGGCATGTCCCTTCACGTCTCTGAATGTGTTACTCAACAGCAGCTGACCCTGCCACATGGTCCCAGGGCATACATCTTGATGGGTCCAAATGGTCTGGCAGTCCTTTCTGCTTACCACAGGTTGCTCAAGAATTGTCATGGGATCCAGTCTTGCCTACTGAGACTGGAACTCTTTCTGGGTAACTCCTTTAAAAAGTTTTTTGTGATTAATAGACGAATAAGTTACATATGAGCCTCTTGGTCATTAAGGTCATATGCTAATTTAAAGCAACAAAGGAAGTCCCCATGGACAGAGTAAAGGAATAGAGAATTGACATCTGTCATGATGTCACTAAGCCACCAAATCCTTCAACACTGGGGCTGCTCTATTCCCAGGTTATTGCTTTTGTTTGTTTGTTTGTTTCTCTTATATATTTTTTGATTTTTTATTTGTTCTTGAGGTTGTACATGATGTGGAGTTACACTGGTCATGCATTCATATATGAATACAGGAAAGTTATGTTGGATTCATTCTACTGTCTTTCTCATTCCCATTCTCTCTCCCCTCCTCTTATCCAATCCAGTGGAATTCCATTCCTCCCTTCCCCTCCTTACCTATTATAAGTCAGTATCCACATATCAGAGAGAATATTTGGCCTTTGGTTCTTTGGGATTGGCTTATTTCACTTAGCGTGATAGCCTCCAGTTCCATCCATTTACCAGCAAATGCCATAATTTCATTCTTTTTTACAATTGAGTAATATTCCATTGTGTATTTATACCATATTTTCTTTATCCATTAATCTGTTGAAGGATACCTAGGTTGGTTCCATAGTTAAAAATATGGAATACTTCATGAATTTGCATGTCATTCTTGTACAAGGGTCATGTTAATATTCCCCGTATTGTTCCAATTTTAGTATATGTGCTGCCGAAGCAAGTGCTAGATTATTGCTCTTGATACCTGAAGAAATAAATCCCTATTACTTAAAACAAGTCAGGTTTCCATTCTCAGCAGCCCAAAGCTTCTGAGAGTAGTTGTTAGTGTCTGTAAACAAGTCAAGATGGTGCCTGGCATTTTGCCAGAGGGAGTGGTTTGTGAAGTAACGCCATCGAGCCATTAAATGTGGAGATTTCTTATTGGTTGACTGCTGTATCGAGTTTATGTTAATTAAGATAAGCTGTGTGGAATGTATATATACCCCTCTAGTCCTACAATAAACGGCTCCCACACCTGCTGTATCAATGTACACAAGTTGTTTGTCACCCCCCGGTTATTTTGCTGCAGCCGGACTGCGGCAAGTAGTGGTCATAAATGTTGATGATAATTGATGAAATTACACTGTCCAGAGTGGTATCAAAAGCAAAAGCTCAGAGGTCGAGGGATTGAGCTCAAATTCTAGTAACTTCTCTCACCCTCCACCCCTCACCTCCATTTCCTTAGGATCAAAATACAGATCTACCTCTGAAAATGCCTTACAGTCACAAGGATCTACATAAATAAATTTGGAGGAATACTTTTGCCATCCACTCTGGCATACAGAGAAAGCTAAGAGTCAACAGAAAAGACTCCTCATCCTGGCTCTGTCACTGCTTTGCTTTGTGACATGAGATGTGTCCCTTCCCCTCTGAACCTTAGTTTCTCCCTCAGTAAATCAGAGTCTTGGATTGGTTTAAATCTAAGGTCATTCTTCAAATTGATATTCAATAAAACAAAATGATGTCATCTTTTTCATTCATACACACACACACACACACACACACACACACACACACACACAAAGCATTGGCAGAAGACACAATAAATTTTGAAAAAAGACACTGTAACCTCCTGTGAGTGCTGGGCTAGATTTAGTGTTGGTGTCCTGTAGCCAGATGTCATACACAGAAGGCCCCTCCCTGGGGCAGAACCCCTTTCACCCTCCTGTCAACACTAGGGTGACTCACTGTACCTCATCTTTACATCTGTCTCTGCTGGACAATATCCTCAGCATCCCACGACCATGGCCCACAAGATCCTCATTTTGCCTCATACGGAAATAGTTAAAATACAAAGACAGGAAAAGCAAGCACTCTCAAAATGAAATTATTTTGGCTGGCTACAGGAATTGTTGAAGAAAACAGACTAAAACTCCCATCCAAAGCAACCCGACAGGGTTTCCAAAATCTGCACTGCAGACACAACAGCAGATGGGGGTAGGAACAGACGCTGGTTCACCCACCTTCCAAATGGACAACGTGCCTCGTGCCATTGCCTGGAAAATACTGAAAACCTTCCCATCTGTGTAGTGCGTGGTCCTGTTTAAAGGCTTCTGTGCGATTCCTCCAACAGCACGGCAAGGAGAGAAGGCAAAGGGGAGGTGGGGTGGCAACATGGAACAGAGAGCAGAGCTAAGTTTTGCCATAAATGACACTAAGGACAAAATCTGCCTCTGCCCCATTCTCTCTTGTGTGTGTATGCATGTGTGTGCACGTGTAAGTGCAAACACCGGCTGCATTCCTCCTATGCACCAAAAGCTAGTCTAGCCTTTAACATCACTCTCCAACATACCTAATCTCCTACCCAATGAATCTCAGAACCTCCAACGTGTGCTCAGGTGATGCAGAAGAGCCATCCCAAGCTAAAAGGATGAATTATGTGGTCTAAGCTAGCCACTGTGATCTCTCCATTCCTGTTTGATTATTATGGACCTAGCAGTGAGCACAGATTTCAGAGGAGTTTCAATGATCAGACAAACAGCTAAAATTCATTACAATTGGATTAGCAGAAGGAAACGATGGGTGAAATCTAGAGGAAAAACCATGTGCCAACTTCTTTATACTATCTTTATCTAGAGGGGACACATGAGAAAAAAAAAATCATTGCCATATGTACTCTGTTTCTGCCTAGGAAAACCCATTTAGAACTCAAAATTCGAGGTTTTACTGTGGGATATAGAGAGTTGATCATATCAGCATTCTACACCTAGAGCACACCAAAACTCCAGACTTTCAGAAGGAAAGCAGGTATTCAGCATAAGTCAGACTGTACAAACCATTTAGGAGTTTGACCCTTGCCTTCTTTTTTTTTTTTTTTTTTAATGTGGTGCTGAAGATGGAACCCAGTCCAGTGACATGCTAGGCAAATGCTCTACCACTGAGCTACTACTGCAGCCCCAACCCTTGCCCTTTTAGGGAATGAATCAAATACCAAGTTATTGGATGCTGGACAAGGACCAAGCTTGCAATCAGACTTTTCTAAAGGTAGCATTCCTAAGCCCTCTCTGTCCCCTCTTTTCTGCATAACACAAATCAGTTTTGATCAGTAAGATATAAAGTAAAGTCCTTTAGACTTTCTTTCTGGAATACATCTGCATGAGAGGAGAAAAACATCTCTTTCCTCCTTCTACTTTTTGCTTGTTGGGATGTTGAGTGGAAATGTAATGCCTGGAGCTGAGGCATCAATTTTGCAACAAGGAAGAGACAGGTCTAGGGATGAAAATATAATGTGTGGCCAAAAAAGAATGGGTTCTTCCATGTTTCGCTGAGTAGATAAATTAACACCAATAGTCATTCATTTCCACCCTTTATGTCTTGTGAGAAATACAAGACCCCATAGGTTTAAGCCACTGTAAGTAAAATCCTATTACTTATAGCCAACTCACTCCTAAGTGATACAACTATCAAGCAAAATTAGTCACAGGCTCTTTTTTAAAAAATATGTTCTAATTAGTTATACATGACAATAGAATGAACTTTGATACATCATATAAATGGAGAATAATTTCTCATTCTTCTGATGGTACTTGAAGTAGAATCACACTGATTGAGTAGTCATATATGTACATAGGGAGAAATACAAATCAAAACCACAACAATTATGGAGAGCAGTATGGAGATGTCTTAGAAAACTTGGAATGGAACCACCATTTGACCTAGTTATCCCTCTCCTCAGTTTATACCCAAAGGACTTAAAATCAAGCATATTTACAATGATGCAACCACATTAATGTTTAGAGCAGCTCAACTCACAATAGCTAAACTGTGGAATCAACCTAGGTGCCCTTCAGCAGATAAATGGATAAAGAAAATGTAGTACATAAACACAACAAAATATTACTCTGCCTTAAAGAAGAATGAAATTATGGATGGAGCTGGAGAATATCATGCTAAATGAAAAGAGCCAATCCTAAAAAACCAAAGGCCAAATGTTTTCTCATAAACTTTTTTCATGAAACTTACAAAGTGGTGGGGTGAAAGAGAACCAAAATCTATGCTACTGTGTATATAACTGTAAACTGTAAAAGTGCTCTGAAGAGAATGAATTCAGTTCTGCATGAATATCCAAAAAGGAGCCTGAGTTGGTTAAAGGAGGAGGAGCAACCATGGAAAATTTTGTCAACATTTCTATTTCCTTATTATAAATTATTCCAAAATTTAACAATCTAAAACAACCATTTTATTTGGTAATGATTTTATGAATTAGGTATTCTGCAAAGGCTCAGCTGAGAATTCCCTCTAATGGGGTTTCATTGTCGGTCCATTGAGCCCTGGTGGATCTGGCTGTTCAAGATGACTCACTTGCATGGCTATGCACTGACGCAGGCTGTCATGGTCCTGCAGCCTGGGGTCCAGGAGAGCCACTGTTCCCATGTAATAGCTTAGGACCATGAGCACAACTGTCCCAATGACCAAGGTGGAGATTGCATGGTGCCTTATAGCCCAGCCTCAGCCATTACACAGCATCACTTCCAACAGGCTCTTGGCCAAAAAAATCATAAACACGTCCAGATTCTGACTAGGAAGACTGTCAAAGAAATGATGGGCCTGTGTTTAAACTTCCATATGCTTCCCTTAAGAATCCTTGATTGAAAGGGCAGGACATGTTTGCCAAGCAGAGGAAAAAAAGGCATATGACATCCACAGAGAACAGCTTACTCAAAGGTAGATCCAGGGTGGAAGACAACCAGGCACTTTGGAGAATAAAAAGGAGGCCAATGTGGGTGTGGCTGGTCCAGAGAGAGAAGGTGGGGGATACAGCCGAGGGGCAGGGCTTGAAGGCCATTCATGCTGGGCCTTGCCTGGGATTTGCTGTCCGGAGATTTGCATCTGTGTCCTAAAAGACCGTATTTAATGTCTGTTAAATAAGTCCACCTGAGTGTCACTTTCCTTATCTGTTAAATGGGGATGATGTAGATCATATCTACCTTAAATCTGTCATAAGGCTTTGTGACATCATGCTATCTAGTAAGTGCTCATAAAGAGCCGCTGTGGCTATTGCTGGTTGTTTTTAATCAGATGACTAGGTAGGGAATATATTTTGCAGGTAGAGCATTAAACCCTAGAGTTTCAGTGGAACCAGAGAATCCAACACAAGCAGTTGAGCAGCGATGGAAGCCCCAGCCTTTCAGGCCCTTGTCAAGAGCTCCCCCAGAACCACAGAGAACTGGGGGTTATGCACAGGCTGGTGAGGGTGGAGGACTCCACAGCTGGGCCATGTGGCCACAAGTTCTCCCCTTCTGTACATCTAGATGACACCTGTTAGAAGCAGCTAAGAATTTTAAGAAACCCTTTAAAGACTGACAGCCATCTCGATGCAAACTCTATACACGGAATCTGATCCGTATGTAAGTGACACAGGAAGTGTGACCTAATAAAGGGCAAGCCTCGATGTTGAAAAAAAAAATAATCCTGGTTCGACAGGAACTGGCTTGGTACCTTTGAGCAAATTAGTAAACTCCAACAATACTGTTATCTTTTATCTAAAATGGGAATGACATCTACGTCTTTGGGTTCTTATGAGTGTAATTGAGAAAATGTATATGAGCTGCCTGTTGAAAGCACCCAGTGAATACCTCCCTTCCCACTCAAGGTCTAACCTCTCACATCTTGAAATGAGATTCACTTGGCCAGATTTTACCGTTACTGAGGACAAAACAATGGTGAGTCAGACACTGACCA